AGAATAGGACAGACAGCAGAATACATCAGACACTAGAAAGGCATTATGTCAATAAATGGAAGGGTAACTGATGTGATACAGCAATCTGTATACGGGGTAAAATTGGGAGTTCATGACCCACTTGAATCAAACTGTGAAATACGATGTATTAAGAACTATGTAATGTTTTGAACGACCAACAATAAAAAAAAAATAAAAAAATAAAAATAAAAAATAAAAAAGGACTGTGGATGTAGCTTAATAGTAGAGAGATACTAGACAGATAATAGATAAATGAAATCAAGTCATCTATATGTCAATCTTCTAATTCATGCTTCTCAAATTATCAATACCACATTCTAATTTGGTAAAATAGCAACAAGATATGCACCTCAGAGTAAGTGAACTTAAGATTTTGAATATCTGAAGACAAGGCTAAAATATAATAATAAAATACACTCAAAACAAAATGGATAACAGATCTTTTTTTGAATGATAATTGAGGCAAAGTCATAAGGACAATGTTTTAAATATAAACATTCAAATACATCTTAAATTATTATATACCATTTGTGAAGTGTCCAAAGAAATTATTGTTCTTGTCTCATCTGCAGGACACATCAGGCCATATGAAACACTTGTTCCTCCTGCCAAAATACAAACAACTTCATGTTTAAATATTTTCCTTTTAGCTACACTTCTAGGGCAAATTCCTAACACAGTGTATATAAATAGAACCATTAACAGAGGGACATCTATTTCTACTCTGCAAAATACAAATCACAAATGATAACAACATACTAAAAGAAAACTCACCTTTAGTTTATTTATTGCCAAAATGAAGCAATATTATGGAACCAAAAGCAATGGGATATGGTTTCTTTCCCTGAACAAAACACACTCAAGTGAAGCCCCTACAATTTGTAGAACTCCACATACATAATTAGAACAATACATAATCTAAGATAATGATTACTGTGAAAAAAAGAAACATCCTATATAACTAGATGCCATTTATTACTTTCTACTTTAATATTGAGATTCATTTGTCATTTAAAATAATATTCTCATACAAAAAGGCTTTTAATAAATTACAAACAAGTTAAAATGTCCAAATTATGTGATATTTAAAAACAAACTAATATATTCTTTGGTGAAAAAGCGACCTTAATATAGAATAAATAATACACAGAAGTATTTAAGTAATATACTGCTGTTTTCTCTTAATACTTATTGTCAAAGTAAAAGTGTTTTCTTGGTACCAAGAATAATACAATATTTTCAGTTCCTTAATTAGATCTCCATCAGCCTATATCAGAATACATTTTAATTGGTACTTGTATACACTTTTGTGTAAGAAAACATATGGGAGTCACTTCCCATAAAAAGCATATGGATGCTGATCAGATTAATTTCAAAAGAGGAGACAATTATCAGTTACAAATATGATTCCTGTAATCAGTAACAACTATTTGATTATCACAGTTATTTGAGTTCAGAAAAATATTTCATAATAAGTGACACTGCAGTCCCTTTTTTGTATAAATTCAATAGATAGTGTGAGCTGAAAAGGGATCTAGAGCTCCTGAAATTGTTAATGTCCCATTTCCATTCCATCAATGCTAATTTGGTCACTAAGGTTTATTTCCTTTTACCTAGATAAGTTATTAGCACAAAGCAGTCAATAAAAGATCAAAACCATTTTAAAATGCAAAACAATGCTAGTTTTCTGCATGAAAAGATATAAATGATTTGATCATATACTGGTGCTCTTTTAATCCACAGAATGCTCTATTATGACTCTGCTTCTCAAAGGTTTAGATTGGGTATATCTATTTTTGCCTTTGAAAATTAAAATCATATCCATAAACATACAGATTAGAAAGTAACTACTAAAGCAGGAGCATTTTCTTATTTAGGCATTAAATCACAGTTTCAACTATGATCCACCAAGAAAAAAGAAATCAGGAATTAAAAGTTTGTACGCCAAGTCTCAGTTTAGGTAAACCTCTTCAGAACAGAAATAAGCAGCATCAACCAATTTTTTTTTAAATAATCTCATCTGTTGGGGCTATCGCTCAGTAGCAGAGTATGTGCCTTAGCACATGTGAGGCACTGGGTTTGATCCTTTAGCATCACATAAAAATAAACAAACTAATTAATTCTGGATACAATAAAGGGACTCCTTAAAAAAACTCATTAAAATTATAGAAATGTTTCTTTCAGCAGACAACATAAACACTTAAAATACAAATACTTTAAATAAAACAAACTTATATCATATTTAAATATAAAAGCACAATACCTACCACCAATTGGTATGATACAAAGGTTATATTTGCATGCTAGATTCACAATCTTAACTACATCATCATGACATGCTGTTGAAAAAAAAAGGAAAATACATTAATTAAAGGGATATGAATAATATCTGGATGATCCTAAAAAATAAGGGTCTATAAAGTTATTTAGCATCCAAACTTTTTCTTTGCTTATTCATTAATGCACTAAACAGCTGTATTAAGACATAACAAGTTCTTTTCAACTTTTCATTTTGAAATAATTTCAGATTTATAAAAAAGTCACTAAATACTACAAAGAATTCCCTTAACCTTACATCCCCAAACAATAACATCTTATATTACAAAAGTCCACTTAACAAAACCAAGCAATTAATACTGAAAACTATTAACTAATTTACAGACCTTAACTGTGGTCAATTGTCTCACCAAAGTTCCCTTTTCTGGTTCAGGGTCAAATCCAGATCACACAGTGATTTTAGCTGGTCACATCTCCTCATTCTTCTTTAAAGCTACACATTTCCAAAGCCTATCTCTGACTTTCATGACCATGACACTTTTGAAGAACACTGTTCAGTTATTTCATAAAACATCCTCAGTTTGGATTTGTATGTTTCCTCATGATTAAACAGATTCTACATTTTGATAGCAATTACACAGAAGTGGATATTGTGCCTTTCTTAGTGCAATACTTCCGGAGACACATGATGCACACACAGACATGTCTTATTTCCAGTAACATTAACTTTGTTCATTTGGTTAGTGTAGGGCATGATGTAACGTGGGGCATGTTGCATCAGAAAAGAGGAAACTTAACCTGCTGGCTGCTACCCGCTTCCCAGTCCTGGGGCCATAGGTGGCTAAGAGAGCACCTAGCAATTAGCCAGAAGGCATTGCCATGGGTTGTGATGAAGAATCGGTCCACCTCTAGGATAGGCTCAGAACCCTTCTGCCCTCAAGGACAGCTCAGGTCTCCCATTACTGTCTGTAGGTTGGGTGTAGATTCCCCACCCCGCTGACCTTTACCCTGATTGGTTCCTGTACATTATATTAGCTGTGTATGTTTTCTCATTAAACGAAATCCTGCTTTGACTGTTCTCCCTGGCCCGCCTGTGGGCGGCCATTCGACCTTTACCTTTCTTGGCCTGTCCTGGCCAGGGCGTGCTCCCTCAATCTCTCCCACAGGTCAGGGGGGAACGGGGTTGGGGGGGGGGGGCTAAAAATCCCGACAGGTTAGATTGTCTGGTAGGTATATTTCCTGTTGAAATCAGTAAATTTCTTTAGATATGTAAATAGTATGTTTCTCATCATACTTTCACCCACTAATTTTAACACTTCATTAATGATTCTTTTTTCTGCTTTTTAGAAAAACATTAAAATCTTACACAAAAAAAAACCAACACCTAACTAAAGGGCTCTTTATCAGTGTTAAAGTTATCCAAGTACGAAAAACCTAACTATGGAAGACTGCAAATGCTAAGTAAGAGGTGCTGAGACTAAATATGAGTGGTTCTGGTATTATTAAGTGAAGTAATTTTTAAAATGTTTTCGTTAAAGGAAATTTTAAATTTCATGAGCATACTTACACCAAAAACATGCATTATATGAGTGACTAACCATCTGTCCAAACTAAAGGTCAAGATATGCACACTGTGGAAAGGTCACAATGGTGAAAATCCTGCTTTAAAGATGACACCAGAGCAGGAAAGCTACATATATCACAAAGTCTTTACTCTTAAACAATCCATAGCCATTCCATTAAAGCAATATGTAGAATTCAGATTCAGATTAAACAGACTTAAAGATAACTTCAAATACAGATTTGGAGAGGTGTGGTCTCCAAACTGCAAGGTGAGACAGTCAATTCTACTCCATGGAATTAGCTCAAATTGCACTGCCTCAAAAGTTGCCCTCATGCAAAGGAAAATTTAGAAGCATCAACAATAAGAATTTATATCAAAGTTAAATAAAGGTCACTGTGAACTGACAATGTGATGGGAAACAAAACTATTACTAAGAAGCTCTCATAGCAGAAGATTCAACAGAACAAAGTTAAAAACTTGATTCATCCAGGAATACACCATTCATATAGATAAATAAAGTATGACATAAAATGCAAGGAATTCTTTCACAAAAATTAAACCTCTGGAGAGTATACAGGAGATCTGAAGAGTTAAGAAACTTGAGGCATGAAAACCTTTAAAGCTATTATTGCAAAAACCCAGTTACACATTAATAAAAGACCGAACTAGAAATTGGGGTGGGGAAAATAAAATGGACAAGCACAGATGTGTAGGAACTAACCAAATGGGTAGGATTTTACAAAGAAAAGAAATTTGTGTGTGGCAACTAATTCTGTTTCCTACATTTGGCTTTTTAAAAATACTTGGACTTCTTAAAGAAAGACATACTTCCACTTTGGAATTCTCTCAGCACTTCAATATTCAAACATGATGAAAATACCCAGAAGACACACTTGAAATTTCTTCTCAAGATACGTCAAAGGAAGGTCTATTAAGTTTCCTGTGGCCAATGAAAATCAGTAAATCTTGCTTTCATGTTTTCCAGTAAAAAAAAAAAAAAAAAAAGGATTGAATGGATAAAGAAAATGTGATATATATATGCATATATATATATACACACACACACACACACACACACACACAATGGACTATTACTCAGTCTTAGAGAATAAAATTATGGCACTTGCAGGTAAATGGATAGAACTAGAGAATATCATGCTAAGTGAAATAAGCCAAACCCAAAAAAACAAAAGCCCGAATGTTTTCTCTGATGAGCGGATGCTAATCCATAGTGGGGGTTGGGGGAGATGTGAAGAAACTTTGGTTTGTGTAGAGGGGAGTGAGGGGAGGGGTGGGGCTTTTGGGATGGAAAGAACAGCAGAATGAGACAGACATTATTATCCTATATACATGTTTAATCACACTACTGGAGTGACTGTGTACCATGTACAGCCAGAGGAAAGAGATGTTGTGCTCCATTTGTGTACAATACTCCAAAATGCATTCTACTGTAAAAAAAAAAAAGTAATTAACTAACTAATTAATTAATTTAAAAAGCCAGCCTCAGCAACTTATTGAGGCCCCAAGCAACTTAGCGAAACCCTTCTCTAAATAAAATATTAAAAAGGGGATGTGGCTCAGTGGTTAAGTACCTCTGGGTTTAATCCCTGGTACCAACAAAATAAAAAATGAAAAAAGAATTTTCAAATTTAAAAAAAAGGAATAAACCTTCCACAAATCTTAGTAAAGAAGCAGCCTAAAGTTACTAAAAAATCAGCAGGCAAAACAAAATATTTTTCCTATTTGACAATAACTTTTCCTTTTTCTTTTTCTTAGGAACAACTAAATTTCTATACTAAATGGAGACAAAAGACCATAACTATTCCAAATGTATGGGAGAATATACATCCCAAGAATCAGGAAACTAATTTCATCTCTACTACATATGATCTTGGATTTTCCTATCTTACCTCCTTTTTCTCCCCATCTTAGGTATCATTTTTCCTTCAGAAAGTTCCTACAAAGTGGAAGTATCTTATCTAAGACATCAGAATTCATGAATGAACCAATTTTCTGAAAAATAAAATATTCTATATACTTTGAAGAGGAAAATCTTAAGAAAAAAGTGGTCTGGAAATCAATATAACTTTTTTAACAATGCTATCATGGACAGCAAGGAACAACATATCTTCCCTGCTTTAAATTATACCGTAAAAGAGATAGTTTAAAAAAATGTAATAAATATAGTACCTAATTCCTTACCAAGAGCAAAATAACAAAAAGTTCATCCATCTTCTTTCCCAAGTCAGGTCCAAAATGTTAATTTCTCAAAACTTATTCATTTCAAAGATAGTAAGTATATCATATATTTTTAAACAACTTGTTTTACCATATAACCTTACTTTTTAGCCCATAAACTAATGTTACCAAATTACTATTATTTTTAGTTCTATAGTAATTGTATTTATTAATAATTTCTATGTATCTGAGTAAATTGTACTAATTTCACTAAGCTTCCAAATGAATAAAATATATATTTTTCTACTGATCATTAAATGCAATTATATACATTTAACTTAAAGACTTAATTATCAACAGTAATCCTTAAAAACCTACTGTTCAGAACAATCTCATCAAGAAAGAGTCTCAAGGCCTTTAGTAAGTTCTTAAAAACATCACTATTTATATTTAACTCATACATTAAAAAGTACATATTTCAAGTACCAAATTTACTTAATATTTAACAATACTAAGTTAATGGTACAAAGAGAAAAAAATAACTTACTTGGCCATAAAACTATATCAGGAATTCGCTGAAACATTCCTTCCCTGAGCAAAAATATCTCATGAAGACAATGACCTGTTTGTGATTTTAAAAAGAAAAGATGTAAAAATATCTTTATAAAACCTAGAAAATTTTTAATTAAAAGTAAATGATACCAATTGAAAGTAGCTTACCATGAGCTCTAAATACTCGATCATCTGCTTCTTGTGAATATGAAATATTAGTTTCTTTAAGTTCACGAAGAAAATCTTCATTTACAATTGAAGGAGGAGTATCACTAGGATTTAAGGATGCCTAGAAAATAAAATTTATTTCCAGAAAATAAATTTTGAATATCTCTGTTCAGGAGAGTGACTATGAAATGCAGATTTCTTTTTGCATTCAAAGTTAGAAGCAGTAAACACAGAAACCAACTTTTGACAATGGCAAATTACAAATAGTCTGGTTAATTATACCCTATCACATGAATTACAGAAGTCCCACATTTCCTCTTGGCTTCTATGACCCACTTTTCATTATTTGCAATCCAGAACAGGGAAGAAAGTAGTCAAAAATCTTCAATTTTAGTTTAAGGAGAGTGGGAGAAGAGTGGGAAAGAGCTATTTGTGTTTTGCATTATCTATATTTTTCCCTGTAGAAAATATTATCATCTCCTAGTCTTCACTGACCATTTTAAAAAGATCAATAACAGTAATAAAAAAAAATTTTAATGGGCTGAAAAATCTCATGACACAATTATAAACTGAATACCAACTTCAACTAAAAGGTATTTTGAAACCTAATGTTGAACTTTAAGGTCAAAACTATGTGACACTGGGTTTGTCACTCAACTTCTGTGAGACTTGGCTTCTTCATCTGTTATATGAGATTAACCCACTGTTAAGGTTTAGATATGAGATGTCCCCCAATTGCATTGTTCATGTGTGAAACAATGCAAGAGGTTTCAAGGTAAAATACTTGAGTTATGAGAGCCTTAACCTAATCAGTGTATTAATCCACTGATATGAATTAACTGGGCAAGTAAGTGTAAGCAGGTAGAGTGTGGCTAGAGAAGACAGGTCACTAGAGGTGTGCCTTTGGGGTTTATATTTTGTCCCTGGTGAGCAGTGCTCTGTTTCCTAACTCCCTATCCTGAGCTGCTTTCCTCCCCACACTCTTCTACCATCATGTTCTGCTTCACCTCAGGCCTAGCACCATGGAGTCAGCCCTCTATGGACTGATACCTCTGAAACTGTGAACCTAAAAAACTTTTCCTCCTCTAATTGTTCTTGATAGGTCTTTTGGTCACAGTGACAAAAAGGCTGACAAAAACCCACCCCCAAATGTGTAAGAATACTATGAGGAAAGCAGATTAAATGTGCTAATTTTTGTGAAAAGAACCTAATAGCATGTCTAGCAAATCTTAAAAAACAAAAAACTATGATATAGTATTCAGGGAAAAAAGTACAAGAATATATAAAGAAAAGCATATGATATTTCTATATTCCTGGTCTCATGAATTTTATTCATATAACAAATACTGATTGCTAGCTACTATAAGCTAGGCATGGACCTAGGCTTAGGGATATAGCAGTGAGTTAAATAGAAAACAAAAAGAACCTCATGGAATTTATCCTGTACTAGAAGGAAATTACCAAAAGAACACCTCAAAATAATAATAACAATACGTTATTAAAAATCGAAAAGGGCTCAAAAGCAGAAAAATGGAATGTATCTGAAATGTGGTGACATATCTGAATATAGCATGTGTTATATCAATGTCAAAGATAAAAAGTATTCACAAATAGTTGAGACAGAAAAATAATTTAAGAGATGATAAAAGAGACATAAGAAAAAATAATTTGGTTTGGTAGGGGCAGAAATTAGCTATTCAGTCCCACTTTTTCTTTTCTTTTTTTTTTTTTTTTTTTTTTTTTTTTTTTTTTTTGGTGATACTGAAGATTGAATCCAGGATGTAGTTCTACCACTGAGCTACATCCCCAGCCTTTTCTATTTTTTTTTTTGAGATAAGTTCTCACTACATTGCCAAGCTGGCCTTGAACTTGTGTGATCCTCCTGCCTCAGCCTCTGAATAGCTAGGATTACAGGCATGTGGCATGTTGCATGGCTTGTTCAGCAGTCTAATTTAATCACTAGAATAAAATAACTGGATTTATAAATAAATCTAGCAATTACCCACTGACTACCAATACTTAATAATATATTGGTTACAGTGAAGAATATCATGAATGACATAGCCCCTATATTTAGGAAATTCATATCCAATTGGAGGGACATGCAGAATACCTCTGGTATAGCAAACTAATAACAATAACAATATAAAGGTGATAAATATTTCATTGGTTTCCTATGTATACAGTTTATTGGTTTTTTCTTTTTTTTCCTTTGTGGAACTGTGGATTGAACCTTGGTGCATGCTATGGCAACACTTTATCAATGAAGCACATGTCTAGCATTTTTTTTTTTTTTTTTTTGAAACAGAATCTCAACAGATTGCCCAGGCTGGCCTCAAACTTGCCATCCTCCTGCCTCGGCCTTTCAAGTAGCCAAGATTATACGCCTGGCCAGTTTAAAGTTTTTTAATCTTTCAGAAAAGTAAAAACTACACAAACAAATTAAAATTCTCTATCATTCATATCTTTTAAGTTTTTAGGTTTTTTGGTAATTTTTCAAATATTCTAAATGTTTACTATTAAATATAACATATAACAATTTTATTTCATTCTATATATCATAGATTATTACCTATTATTTTGTTATCTAAAAATAACAGCAATTTAGCTGGGCACAGTGGCACACACCTATAACTCCAGTAGCTCAGGAGGCTGAGGCAAGAGGATCACAAATTCAAAGCCAGCCTCAGCAACTTAGCAAGGTCCCTCACAACTTACAGAGACCCTGTCTTAAAATTTAAAACATAAAAAGGGCTGGGGATGTGGCTCAGTGGTTAAGCACCCTAGGTTCAATCCCTGGAACCAAAAAAAATAAATATATTTTAGGAGCTGGGGTATCAGCTCGGTGGTAGAGCGCCCACCTAGCACATGTGAGGCACCAGGTTCTATCCTTAGCACCACATAAAGATAAATAAATAAAGGTGTCCATCTACAACTAAAAAACATTATTAAAAAAAAAACGAAAGAAATTTTAAAAATAAAAATAATAGCAACTTTCATTTCTATAATAAAATACAGAATTAACTAATTTGTACAACACTACTACCCTGTCAGAGGTATAACAGTTATTACTCCCACTTCTTAAATTAAAAATAATCAAAACTCAAAAAAGAGAAGAAAACTAGTCAAATAACTCTTAAATTCTGAAATTTAGAATCTAGATACTGTGAGAAAAAAAACTCCTACAAAACCTGACAAGACCTATATAATTAATAGGCTTCATAAAAAAGAAACCATAACTGTATTAAAGCAAACACAACAAATTACAAAGATAAATCTATTTAATTTGGGATTAAAAAAACAGTTAAGCAAGTTAGTAATTATTCTTATTTGCTTACTTTAGAGGTAGTTTTATGTTCCAGACTTACTCCAAGTGTATTTTGGATCCATTCCTTAAAAGTTGGTAAAGTCAAGCCACTAAGAGGGTACCTAAGATACAAAGAAGATTAAATTTTAGAGTAAGGTATCTTCATTTAAATTTGAAGCTTAGATTCTGCTTCTAGTAATGGTCAAACAGTTCCTATCAAACTAACCCTCCAACATATAACTATCAACTCTAAACAAAAACAAAATAAAACCTAGCTACCTGAAGACAGTATAGATGGAACAAAAGTAAGTATGCAATACATTTGGAAGAAGGAAAAAGCACTATGTAAATATCCAGCTTTGCTTTGCTTTTTAAACAGTTTTGACAATGGGGAGAGCTACAGCTGTTGAGGTAACAAAAATTTTTTAAAAAGAGCTTAAAGAAGCAGAAGAAGGGAGTGTTTGTAGTAAACGCAGCCGTCTGGAAAGCATACAGAGAAATTACAGAACCTATAGGAGGGACCTATGTTTCAACTCTGTCCAAACATCTGGCTGACCCTGAATTATACATGGGTAGAATATGTATGAGAGTCTTATAAACACCCCAGATAAGCTTAAAAGAACTGAAAAGACAACATAATTGTTATCGCTTCAGAGGAGCAGTATTTGGAGTCTGACATTAGTCAAATTAAATGCTTGATTTAGGGGGGGAAAAAATTAAAAGTCTCTATGGCAGAATATAGCAGCGTCCAGAAGAATCCTGAGTTTCTAGGACTTATCAATCACAACATCCAAGACTCACTCCAGAATTATTAAACATGAACAAACAAGAAAATGTGATCCATCATCAAAAGAAAAAAGAAATAATGACAACTGACCCAAAGATGATCCAAGATACTGGAAATAGCACACAAGGATTTTAAAGCAGCTAATAACAACTTGGCTAAAGGACCAAAGAAAAAAATATGCTCCCAGTAAGGACCAGAAATTTCAGAATAGAAATAAAAATTATAATAAATAACAAAACAGAAATTCTATAATTGAAACTCTCAAACATTCTGTTGGTATCTCATTTCAGATATTCTTTGTTTTGTATGCCAGTTCAAGTTTTTTGGTCATTTTTCTTTTGGGTTATTATTATTTACTTATTGATGTACCAGAACTGTCTACATATTATGAAATCAGGAATATATGTATTAAACATTTTATCATACCCTATGATTTACATTTTCACTCTCTATTACTAGAGTCTTGATAAAAAAAATTCTATATTTTAATGTTGTTTATTTTCTTTCCTTTGTCAGTTAATATTCTTTGTTCTCTGCTTTTCGCAAACCTCAAACTCAGAAAGAATTCTTTATATTCTCCTAGCAGTCTCAGTTTTAGCTTATACATTTAAGTCTACATTCTATCTGAAAATAATCTGTGTATGTGGTACGAGGCAATATCGAATTAATTTTTTCCAAGATGGTAGTTTATGTCCTCCTATTGCTACTTTTGTTCTGTGTGTTTTTTAATGGAGGGCGGAAAAAAAAAGAGATTCTAGTAGTCACTATTCCAGTAGAGAGAACAAACAGAATGGTAGAATACTTGCCTAGCATGCACAGGGCCCTAAGTTCAATTCCCAGCACTACAAAAAGAAAAAAAAAAAAAGAAAAGAAAGAAAGAAATTTGCAACATTTTCTGATACCAGAGAAATCTAATGATTCACCCATTATCCTCAGGAAACTAGACTAGACTTAGAGAAAGTTATGCCTGAATTCAATTCACTTTATTATCCTGTCTGTGAAAAGATAAAGGTGTTCCCTGAAACACCAAAATGGGAACTGACTATTATTTAGTTACTTAATTTTAGTTCTGTTGTGTGTTACACATTTCATCTTAGGTTGTCTAAATTTCACTTTTATGCTTGGGGAATTACCCTTTGCATAAGTCTTGGAGGGAGGCAAGAGCTACCTTCCACCAACATGCATACACCAGATATTTACTTTCCAGGTCTCCTTGTAAGCTCTTACAGTTAGATGTACCCTTATTCTTCCTCTCTCCAATGAACTCTGACTCACTGAGAAATGACACAAAGAAATGATGCCTTTAAAGAATCCTTTCTATTAAGACTGGCAGTAGTGACAATCTTCCTGTGTGTAAACCCAACAGATAAATTATCTGGTTCTGTTACTGCCTGGACAAAAATGTCTATCAGGGTCACTAATATCCCTTTTGCTCTTAATTTTTGCTCTTCTAACAATAATTGAATTACAAATTTTGTTCTCTAGATACTTTAACGTAAGGAAGGGCAGAAACAAGTATAGGAATAATCAAACCATCAATGAATACACTGGGGTTTAATTTTTAAAATCTCTCTCATGAGTGTGGTCCATGTGTCAAGTCTCCACAGCTTGATCTCCCCTGGGAAAAATGACAAACCAAGTGCCAGAACACCTAAAATAAGAACCAGATGCTAAACACATGGGATCCACTAAGGCAGTTACCTGTGATGTTTTCTGTGACTAATCATGTCACATACCCACATACATTTCTAACATAAACCACATTACCTACAGTACTCCACAGAAGGCTCCAGGAGTCTTATGCTTTCAATGGCACTATGCTGCAACACAAGTGACAACATGCCCCCTCCCATACAATAGAAATAATGTTCCTTCAGGTTCAAAGAGACAGAGAGAAAAATGAGGAGGTGTCTAAAAGAAAATAAAGTTGGTTTTCTAAGTTTAGAAAATTTATTTTTTTCTCCAAAAGATTTTGAAAAATCAAACTTTACCTAGGTAGGTTTCTACTGTATTAGACATTATTCTATTTAAAACATAAAAACTCAAGATTAAAAACACTGGTTAATTTACTTTAACAAGAAATCCCTTTTTCTACCTGAATTACATAAGTTCTCAAGTAAGCCTCTATGCTGCCCAGTTATATTTAAGAATAAAAATGAGAACACAGATGTTTATTTTTCCTATTAAAAAGCTAATGTAAATGTACTTCATACCTTCGTGAAAATTAGTTTCTACTTACTACTCCTGATGTTTTACTTCAGGTACAAAATATAGAGAAATCAAAAAATAGACCAGCACTACAATTATGTTGCAAAGAAAAGAAATAACTTCATCAAAAAAAAAAAAAAAAAAACAGGCTGTAGTTGTAGCTCAGTGATACAGCGCTTGCCTAGTACATGTGAGGTACTGGGTTTGAACATTTGAACCTCAGCCCCACATATAAATAAAATAAAAAAGGTACATTGACAACTAAAAATAAATAAATAAATAAACACAAAAAAAATAAAATTTACTTTCTTTACTGACATTTTAATAATACATCTAATCCCATTTTTTCCCCTTAGTCTCAATATTTATTTTTTTTAAAACCAGCATTCACATAGTGCATATTTATACTCACTGCATTTTCAAAAGTTACATAAAAATTCAAAAACAAACTAAAACAGTTTTGGTAGGAGCAGTGTTGTTTAAAGTCAACTAAGAAGACATTTCACAATTCTGTTTACCTCTAAAATAAACACTTAACAATACAAATATCCTTTAGAATTCTTCTGAGGTATGACTGAACAAATATCCTTAATAATTCTCATCAACATATTACCAGAACATTTCAGAAATGTGAAAACTGTCATAAAAATGACCTTTCTTCATCATTTCTCCCCAATATATCTCAGAAATTCATTTTTTAAATAGCATTTATCTTTGCACAGATCTAAAATTATTACCTTTCATTATAATCCACACAGAGATGTGAATAATAAATATGAAGTTACTTTTAATAAATCAATGGCATGGATATTGATTGGGTGGTGAGATGGCTGAAGACCTTGTTTGGATTCAGAGGCAAATAAACTACTTACAAAAGGAATTTGTGAGACAATTTAGAGGAATGTTAATATGGACTAAATAATTAGATATTATTATAAAATGTTTGCTATCTTGGAAGTGTGACCTATAATATTAGGTCCTTATTTTTTTAAAGGATACATATATAAATATTTAGACATAATGTCAGAATTAAAAATATAGAAAAAAATAAGGAATTATTGCAAAATGTTCATAATTTTTAAATGAAGGCAGGATCATTATGCTATCTTTTCTATTTTTATGTTTAAAATTTTTTGTAGAGAGAAAAAGGAAAAGAAGGAAAAGAAAGGAATAATCAAACAGGATTACCTTTTCCCAGTCAACTCAGCTTCACCCTTCTTATTGATGAAGAACTTGGAATCATTGTATCCCCATCCATTCCATTTCATAACTTCTTGCCTAATAAAGAGAAGAAAAATCTATAAATAAGACCTATGCTAACACATCAAAACTAAGCAGCATATTATTGACCATTAACTTTCACAATCATTCAAAAGACCTTATATCCACCAGTATTTTATTAGTTGAAAATGACCACATATTAAAATGTCTATATATTAATATTTCTAACTATAGATTCATTCTAATGAACAGTACATGCTTTCCAGAGGATTATACAAAAAGATCTAAAGGAAAAGATGTGCTCAGAGTATGCTTCATTTTGTATATGTTATTAAGTTTAAATTACAGGATGCCCCCCAAATATTCAGCAATTAAAACTAAGAATTTGGGGTTGGGATTGTGGCTTATGGGGCTGGGGTTGTGGCTCAGCATAAGAGCACTCGCCTAGCACGTGCAAGTCCCTGGGTTCGATCCTCAGCACCACATAAAAATAAATAGATATGGCTGGGATTGTGGCTCAAGTGGTAGAGTGCCCACCTAGCACATGTGAAGCACTGGGTTCCATCCTCAGCACCTCATAAAAAATAAAATAAAGATATTGTATTCATCTAAGACTGACAAAAGGAAAGAAGGAAGGAAGGAAGGAAGGAAGGAAGGAAGGAAGGAAGGGAGGGGAGGG